TATATACAAATGCTCAAAGCTTGGGGAACAAACAGGGTGAACTAGAAGCAATAGTACACAAAGGACAGTATGACATAGTTGGCATAACAGAAACCTGGTGGGACGAAACCCATGAATGGAATGGACTGATGGATGATACAAATTGTTCAAAAGAAACAAGTCTACAAAAAGAGGAGGAGATGTTGCACTATATCAGTGGTTCTCAACCTTTTTAATGCCACGACCTCCAACCGGTCGTAAGTCGAGGACTACTCAACCGGTCGTAAGTCGAGGACTACTCAACTGGTGCAGTACCGTTTGCAGAATGGGACTTTTGGCGGGCTCAGCAGGGCAGAGACAGCCTGGACAATTCCTATTGGCTTTTGAAAGCCAATAGAATTAGACTCTATTCAAGTAAAAGGGAGTAGCACAGCTAAGGAACAGGGGGAAAAAATGGCAGACTGCGTTGTTTGGCGACCCCTGATGGATGGTTGTTCTACCCCAAATGGGGTCCCGACCCACAGGTTGAGAACCACTGCACTATATGTAAGAGAACACTACATATCTGAAGAAATGCACATGATCAAAGATAAAATATTTCCAGAATGTATATGGGTTACTATAAAAGAGAAAAAAAGTGACATTACCATAGTTGTATATTACAGGCCACCCAACCAATCAGAAGAAATAGATGAACTCTTTGCCAACCAGTTAACAAATACATGTAGGAAGCATACTACAGCAGTAATGAGAGACTTCAACTATCCAGTTATCAACTGGGAGACAAACTCTGCAATGAGTGGGAGATCAAACATATTCCTAACCAACCTAGCTGACAACTTTGTCACCCAAAAGGTGGAGGAGGGAACTAGATGTAAAACTATACTAGACTTAATCCTTATAAATAGAGAAGAAGTGATAGAGAGAATCAAAATTGCCAGAACCTTGGGTGAAAGTGACCATGTCATACTGCAATTTAATATAATGCAAACACTAGCAATAGAAAACAATCCAATCAATGTCTTAAACTTCAAAAGAGCCAACTTTAACAAACTCAGAGAGAACCTAGGAAAGATCCCATGGATGAAAATCCTAAAGGGGAAAACAATCCAAGAAGCATGGGAAACCCTGAAAAATGCAATCACAAAAGCCCAGACCAGCACAATATCATTGAGAAAGAAAAACAAGAAATCCAAGAAGAAACCAGCATGGCTGTACAAAGGTCTCCCTAACAAACTGAAAGACAAAAAGGACAAATACAAAAAATGGAAAGAGGGGCACATAACTACGGCCGATTATCAGCAGACAGCCAGAACATACAAAGATGAAGTCTGGAAAGCAAAGGCTCAGAACGAATAAAGACTTGCAACAGAAATCAGGGATAATAAAAAAAACTTTCTTCCAACATATTAATAACAAGAAAAAAGTCAAGGAAACTGTAGGTCCACTAAAGAGAGAAGATGGCAAGGAAATAACGGGCAACAGGGAGAAAGTAGAGCTGCTTAATTCATTCTTTGCATCAGTCTTCACACAAAAAGAAATTACAGCCCAACATAGCAAAAATCCACTACAAAAGACAAACTAGAAACAAAAATTAAATAAGCAAGAAAATGGTAAAAGAACACCTATCCAACCTTGATGAATATAAATCACCGGGACCCGACAGATTACATCCCAGAATTCTGAAAGAGCTGGCAGATGTTATCTCAGAATCATTGCACCACATCTTTCATAAATCCTGGAGCACCGGGGAAGTATCTGAGGATTTGAAAAGGGCTGATGTGGTCCCCGTCTTCAAGAAAGGAAAAAAACGGACCCAGGAAACTATAGACCAATCAGCTTAACATCAATACCTGGGAAGATCCTAGAAAAGATAATCAAAGAACATCTGCACACAACTAGAAGCAAACGAAGTCATAACTAGTAACCAGCATGGGTTTATTAAAAACAGATCATGCCAAACCAATCTTATCTCATTCTTCGATAAAGTGACCAGCGAAACACAGTGGACATAATATACTTAGATTTCAGTAAGGCATTTGTCAAGGTAGACCACAACCTACTTCTTGGTAAGCTAGGAAAAGGTGGAATAGACAACATCACCACCAGATAGATCTGTAGATGGCTGGCAAAGTAGTCCTCAATGGCACTACATCCACATGGAGAGAAGTAAGCAGTAGGGTACCACAAGGTTCCGTCTTAGGCCAAGTACTCTTCAATATCTTCATCAATGACTTAGATGAGGAAATTGAAGGGGAACTCATCAAATTTGCAGATGACACCAAACTGACAGGAGTAGCCAACATCCCAGAAGACAAACTCAGGATCCAAAAAGATCTTGACAAACTTGAACAATGGGCCCTATCCAACAAAATGGGTTTCAATGTGGAGAAAAGCAAAGTCTTAAATTTAGGCAGGAAAAACCAAAGATACAAATACAGATTGGCTTAAAAACAGTAACTGTGAGAGGGACCTTGGAGTCCTAGCGGACGATCACTTGACTATGATCCAGCAGTGTGCAGCAGCAACCAAAAAAGCTAATATAATCCTGGGTTGCATAAACAGAGGCATAGAATCAAGATCACATGAAGTATTATTACCGCTTTATAAAACTCTAGTAAGACCACACCTGGAATACTGCAGCCAATTTTGGAGTTTGAGAGTTTGGAAAAAAATCAGAGAAGAGCAACTAAGATGATCAAAGGCCTGGAGACTAAAACATACGGTGAATGGCTATGGGGCTTGGGTTTTGGCAAATCTAAAGAAAAGAAGAAATAGGGGAGACATGATAGCAGAGTGCCAGTATCTGAAGGACTGCCACATAGCAGAGGGGGCCAGGTTGTTCACCAAAACACTAGAGGGAAAGATGGGAAACAATGGTTGTAAACTGATCAAAGAAAGAAGCAACCTGGAATTAAAGACAGTGAGGACAATCAAAGAGTGGGACAGCTTACCCCCAGAAGATTTACCTTACCTGGAGATTTTAAAGAAGAGACTAGACATTCACCTGTCTGAGACAGTATAGGTTCTCCTCCTTGAGCAGGAGGCTGGACTAGAAGACCTCCAAAGTCCCTTCCAGCTCTATTCTATTCTAAATTCTAAATAAATAGCATATTCTGCTCACTATTTTTTTAGCTACCTAACATACTGTATATGTTGGTTTTATGATTTATTTTCATTGTGATGCCACTAATCTTGTATGTCTTTTCTATAAGCCAAATTTGTTTACATAGCATTGTCTCATGACAGCTTGGTAATAGAGTAGGTTTAAAAATGAACAATATCTTGAGAACGTTTGAGATTTATATGATTTGTTTTACATTATCACACGACTATACTGTTGCTATATTCAAACATGTTATTGATCATTTTCATTAGTTAGACCAAAGTCTTGGCAGGCCTTACTAAAACAGTCCATAAGTTGTTGAAGATCTTCGGCAGAGTGAGCAGTAACGGCAGCATCGTCAGCAAAGAGTAAATCCCGTAGGCATTTCAGCTGGACTTTAGACTTTGCTCTCAATCTAGAGAGATTAAAGAGTTTTCCATCTGATCTGGTCCGGAGATAGATAACCCTATATTACAATCTCTGCAAAGGAACTGGAGGTTGTCCATGACTTTGTGTACCTCGGCTCAACAATCTCTGACACTCTCTCTTTAGATATTGAGCTCAATAAATGTATTGGTAAAGCGGCCACCACATTTTCCAGACTTACAAAGAGAGTATGGCTTAATAAGAAGTTGACAGAACATACAAAAATCCAGGTCTATATAGCCTGCATCTTGAGCACACTGTTGTATGCAATGAATCATGGACTCTTCACGTACGGCAGGAGAGAAAGCTGAACACTTTTCACATGCGCTGTCTTCGATGTATTCTCGGTATCACCTGGCATGACAAAGTTCCAAATAGCACAGTCCTGGAATGTGCTGGAATCTCTAGCATGTATACACTATTGAAGCAGCGACGTCTACGCTGGCTTGGGCATGTCGTGAGAATGGCTGATGGTCGGATTCCAAAAGGTCTCCTGTATGGAGAACTAGTGCAGGGAAAGCACCCCAGAGGGAGATCTGAGCTGCGATATAAGGATATCTGCAAGAGGGACCTAAAGGCCCTGGGAATGGACATTAACAGCTGGGAATCCTTGACCTCTGATCATTCAGCTTGGAGGCTAAAAACGCAGCATGGCCTTCTCCAATTCAAAGAGACACTTGTGCGGCAGGCTGAGGCAAAGAGGCAGTCCCGGAATCAGTGAAATCTGGGGGCTGGACAGGGGACAGATTGTATCTGCCCCCAGTGTGGAAGGGACTGCCATTCTCAAATTGGCCTTTTCAGCCACACCAGATGCTGCCTTAGGACCTGTTTCCAGAGCATGATACCATAGTCTCTTGAGACTGAAGGATGCCAATGAATGATGAATGATGATATCGATCATTTTCTTTTATATGAAATAATGGACATAATTTGAGATTAGGATTTTAAAATTATGTGTCTGATAGGAAAAAAGCTGGTACACATAGCTGCTTATTGACATTTCAACTCACATACTGAAGTGATTTTGCCAAAGCATTACTTTCTAATAGTTTCTCTCAATTTCATAGTGCACAGCTATATTATGTTCATGTCATGGAGAATAAGATATTTTATTTGCATCTTGGAAGTCTTGTGAATTGTAATTGAAAATCTGAAATACATGCTAAACAAGGTATGTTTATAGGAAGCAGGCAGGGTGTGAGTGACATTAGCAAAAGATCTATAGAACTGGATCTGTGGATGCTTTCTGCAGAGACCGTTATGTTTATAGGAATTTGTTTTGATTTATCAGTTACAGTTTATTATCTAAAATACTTTATGGGATTGCATAATGATGATAGGAAAAAAATCAAGGAAATGAAGACAATATGATCCAGACATATGTCTAATTATAATGTGCTTTTTTGAATGTTACTACTAAGAAGTGTTTGAAGATAATAGTTTACTGTATCAACTTCTTTTGATTTGAACAAAGTATGGTCTATTGCAGGGAACCCCGGAGGATCTGCTCTTCTTTTATGAACATCTTCGAAAAGGTGGGGAAGTGTTTCGAGTTGACCAGTGCCTCCTCCTCTATCGTTACCATGCACAGGCAGCCAGTACTGCAGTTTTAGAGTAAGTCATGATTTGTATCAAATGTCTTAGAGTATTAAATAGGGTTTATAGGTTTATTTCCTAACAGTAGAGGCATTTCTTTGGATAATTTGCTTATAAAGTTACAATATTTTTTTAAACTTGTAAGTTGCCCGATGCTCAACAGCTGTTGTGTCAAATTATTTTTAGGTGTATGTTAGATGAATTTTTACAACACATTATCTTATAACGTCATATCTTATATGAATGCAGCTATGATTCGGTCCTGTGAACATGTTTCAACTGACTACTTTATGGCTTTAATCATTTTAGTTGTCTGTTTTATAAGTATTGGAACCTCCCAGCAGGCAGATAGGAGAAATCAAGCAGTGAGTTAGCCTTGAATTGTTGACCTCACCTAATCTCCATGAAACAGTATCTATCAGTTCCCAAGGAAAGGCAAGCAGTCCCGGGAGATTCCTACTGAATCCTTGTAGAGTTTATGGAGATTCCAAAACTAAAGTTCCAAATTTTAGCCAAAATGGAGACATATTTTAAATGCTTCTGTCATTTGCCAAGATTTTTAACAAAAAGGTTTTTTGGTAACATTTTTAGCCCGGGTCAAGTATAGACTCATTAAATGTGAGCCATTGTACATAGATGCTTTTGTACATAGAAACTATTCCATAGTTGCATAGTAAACATCTGTAAAAGTATTCAGTGTATATAATCTGTTTAGTTTCAAAGGTGATGAGCAACACGCTTGATATGTAATTTTTCACATTAAAAAAAATGCATTTTTGCCCAGCACCTGTTGTCCAGTATCAGTGATTTTTTTTTTGTGGTTCTTTGTATCCATATGTTATTTACTGAGATAACTTTGTAAAATGTAACAAACAATGAAAATATTTACTAGAAAGAGTTTGATCACCACAAGGAAGGAATATATATAGAGAAGAAAGCAAAAATATGGCTTCCTATTACTACTTAAATGGCATCATATTGTTCAGAATGTGATATGATTGTTAGAATTTTTGCAACCTTTTCTAATGATATTTCAAACTATTTGGAAGACAGTTTTTCCTTCTGTGGGAAAAATGTTTTATTGGAAATGGATTTGTTATGAATTAACAGCAAGCTGTTAAGTCCATTTTACAAGAGAATATGGCACAGACCCCTGGATTACAGCATACTTGTAGAATGTGAAAATGGCACAAAGCATTTTCAGATGGGTTCTGTCCACAGATAAATACGAAGCTTCCATTATTTGTTTCTTTCTCCCCCTCTTTCCCTTATTCCTTCCCATGTTTATCAGTTCTGAAATGAATAACATATTTCAATTTTGGGAGAAAATATTTCCCCAATGTAGGGCAAAGATATTGAATGCTGATTATTTTGTGTTAGTAATATAATTCTTGAAACATTTAGGTTCAATTACATAAGATGACAATTGTACATATTTCAGTGATGGAGCCCTTGACCTGAAAGGAATACTAGCATGACAATACTTAAGTCATGCCTTTTATTAAAGTCTTCATTCTGTCTGAGAAACTTTTACTTTTCCCTTCTAATTGTGTGTGTGTGTGTGTGTGTGTGTGTGTGTGTGTGTGTGTGTGTGTGTGTGTATGGGAGCCAGTATATAAAAAAGCCAGCCTGTGATTCAGATTGTTCCCTCTTCCTAACTGGGTTCCGATAATGAAAAGGGCCACAACAGGTCTGTGCAGAGACTTTTAGGTTTCTCAGATTTTCAGAACCTCAGTCCCAATTATATCTACACGTCCTGTTGTTCTTTGATAACAATAAAAAGACTATGAAACCTAAAACCAAATGATTATGTGCTCTTTTCATCACTGTGTTGACTGATGCCTGTTTAATGCTGTTGTATTTCCATTGAGTATTTCCATTGTGTCATTGATTTCAGGATACAATTATTCTTTGTACTGGTCAATGGCCTATTTATTGTACTTATTTGCTAGATTTGTATCCTACCTTTTCTCAGGAATTATTGGTAACATATAGAGTAGCATTCTCTTCCCCTCATAACAAGCCTGTTAGGGAAACACTCATACTAATCTACTAGATCAGGGAGCTCATCTAGAGGTCTAATTATACAGAGGGTTACGCCCATGAATCTCAAATGCCTAATTGAGCAAAGGTTCATATATCTAGCTTTCAGATATCAAAACAAAAACAGAAAAGGGTATCTCCACAGAATTGGAAGGACTGACTGGCCTACAAAGATGTACATTAGCAAATACAGGGTGAGAAGTCAGAAAGCTGAACTGCTGTTTTGAGCCAAAAAAACCCATCTGGTAGAGACTAGAGATCATGGCATTAGTTCTTCCTTGTGGTTGACTGGTTATTTTTAATACCTCACTGATAATTTTTGTCCCACCATTGAGAGACAGAATTTGAGGGTATCACCTGAACTTTCTCTGTCTGACTGAACAAATTTCAAGAATGCATTGACATTCACAGTCTTCATTCTCTTATAGTCAGGATTCATAATACTTGGAAGGGTAGAAGTTGGAATCATTACTAGGTTTTCCTAGTAATAGTTCCATTAAAAAAGGCTGGTCAAAAAAGGCTGGGCAGAGTCACTGGCTGTTTGCTCTGATAAAGTTTGTGTCTGTTTTAGAATTAGTGGTTTGCTTGAAAGCAAGGAGGGCATCTCCCTTTTGACCATTTTTAGCCCCAAAATGTTTAAAACAATTCTCTCCCAATAGATTTATTTAGAGTGCTTGCATAAAATATGGGAAGAAGAGATTATTTGTTGTATTTTAAGAGAAATGATAATTTACTAAATTGTTTATACTTGTGATGGAGAATTCATTTCTTTATATTCTTGTTATTCTTTACCATATTATTTTTTCTTGCTTTCAAATTTCCTTTCTATTGTTTTCTTGTCTGTACTTTCTTTTTTCTTTTCCTTTCCTTTTTTTAAGTTTGTATTAGTTTTACTATTTTTAATTTTAACTTTTAATAACAATGCTTTTAAAAAACCAGTATGGAGCTTTACTGCACTTCACTCAGTTATTTGAATTATGTCCATTTATATCTATAGGCAAGCAGTTTTCCTAGAAATCCTTACAGATGCCTGAAGGCAACCTTGGACAGGAATTTTCAGATTTCATAATAGGTGTGGTGCTGAAGTGCTCTGCTTTTATGTCTTGGAAGGCAGAATCACATAGCTAATGTTCAGCTAATTTCTTTTATTGATAGTATTCAGTTGAAATCATTTACCTCCAACAATGACACCTGTGCAAGTACTTTAAATAAAGTTAAAACTGATTTGGCTAATTTAGGTAATGTTGAAAGAGAAACATAATACTTGAAATCAAATATTTGGAATATATGATTTAAGATTGAAATTTAGATATTGTAGTCCTCTGAAATCATATTTAAACAATCTGTCTTTTAGTACATGCATCTTCAAAAATTAATCTTGATGACAATTAGTAAAGAATATAGATTGTTTGAAGAAAGGTGCACCATCTAATATTTTCAGCAAAGATAGCAGTCAGCCTAAGTTATCAGTGTTATAATCATACTTTGTCAGAGCCAACATTCCACACACTAAATTTATCTAATTTATTAATCTAGTAGTATTTATCTAAGTTCGCAATTCCCATTGCAAGAGGAAAAGAAATGAATGACTGATTGGTTAGTGGGGGAGTTACGTTTTATACATTTGCAAATTTAAATGTAGGAATAGATTATTGTTTTTCCCCCTCTGGGAATTCCCATGATTAATTTGTCCCACAGAATAGATTACTGAAAGGCAAAAAGGATATGTGAAGAAGGAAAAAACCTTGCCCTCATAGTCTTCTGTGCTAGAGGCTTAAGGATATCCTGTTAAGTGGCATTTGTGATGACAGAATCTAACTCATTCATCATCTTCCGACCTAATGTTATTCTCTCAAGTACAGGGCCTGCTTTTCAGATCGTTGAATGCCATCTTGCACGTTCAAATGCAGCGTCCGGGTCATGCCTGTATTTTGACAGAGATACTGTAGATCCATTGGTTGCGACAAAAACAGATCGACCGGCTTGTTGCCTGGACCTAATGTTGGTTTGGTCTGTGTTCAGCTCAGCACCACCCTGATGGGCAGGCAGTATCCAGCAGCAACACTAGGAGGGGCAGACCTTACTGCCTATGATAGAATCTAACTGAAGTAGTATGGATATAATTAATAGAAACAACGTAATCATAAATTTTGCTGCCTGCTTACAAATATTTTAATATTGTCACCTAGTAATATTGAAAACGTTGTCCATGGGGTCGCGATGGGTCGGACACGACTTCGCAATTAACAACAACAATATTGAAAATATATTTTAGCCTACCCAATAACATATTTGGACTTTGAGGGTCACCAAGCACAGTAAACACTGGCATTTTATTGTTTTCAGATAAATCTCATTTTTGTAAAATTTATAGCCCATCTTTATTATTTTTCATAAATAACTCAGGGCGATGAATGTATCTAATATTCCTGCTCCTATTTTCCACATAAGAACAGCCTTGTGAGATGGGTTAGTCTGAGAAAGGGTGACTGACCCAAAGTCACCAACTGACTTTCATGTCCAAGACGGGACTAGAACTCAGTGTCCTTGTTTCTGGCCTGGTGTTTTAACCACTAGACAAACTGACTCTCCATTATTATCATTATAATGTATATTACATTATATTTTATCTGTATAATTAACTAAATATTTGTATCTATGCATAATATATATTATCATTACAATAATAATTGTAGGGCCTTTTCTAAACCTTCTTTTCTTTTCCTACAGCTGTGGTTATTTTAATAGTAAGTTGTTACATGCTGAGGAATTAAAGCCATGAATTAAAAATAAACGTATAATTGTGTTTTCCACATTGTATATCAATGTTGGTATTTATTGGAGAAGAAATTTAAATTTGAAACATTTGAAACTTGTTATAGGTCTTCTAAATAATCTAAACAATATAATTACGAAAACTTTGATTCTGAATATATTTATTAAAACATAACCATTTTTTCTAGGTTTTTAATTGG